AAATAAAACTGGACGGAAAAGATAACCGGGTTTGTTTAGCAAGAGGACAAATGTCGCATGTATGACTGGAATAAAAAACTATTGATGGAACTTGTTTGGTTAAAGTTTGCAGAGGACCGGTAGAAGGGTGCCCTAATCGTTGGTGCCAGAGGGTGGAGTTGTGGCTAATGTGGTGAGCAAGGCGAAGGTTTTGTTCTGGCGCCAAGTAGTAAAGCCCATTATATCGCTTGCCCAGGCCAATCGTCCTCCTCGTATCCATGTCCTGTATCACACAGAAATCAGGGAAGAAAATCACTATGCATCGTAATGCTTCAGTAAGTTTGCTAACAGATAATAAGTAAACTCGAAAGTTGGGCACATGGAGCACTCCATCAAGTTTCATGTGTGGAGTAACTTGTATAGAACCAATCGAGTCTATCAAGGCATGTCCTCCATTCGGTAATTGAACAGAATCCAGCATGGATAATGACTTCTTGTCTAGCAAATGAGGAGAAGGAGATACATGGTCTGTTGCCCCACTATCAATGATCCAATATAAAGTTTTCTCTGACAAGTCAGAAGAAGGTGTGATTGTACCTGTTGCATTTGCAAAATGCTGCGGATTACCATCAACGTTGCTCTTCTTGAGCATTGCCATAAGTTGATTATATTCTTCTGTGGTGAACTTCGGACCGTCACTGGACGTTGCCTTGTGTCGTGAGTCTACACCCTTGGTGGTCTCGGTCTCCACCGTTACTTGGTTTGCCGCAGGTTTTCTTTTTTGTTTGGTGGCTTGACTGATTTGCCATGATACTTATGGCCAGGCGGGAAACCATACAAGTAAAAGCATCGATCCACGGTGTGGTACTTTTGATCACAATATGAGCATTGAAGGGTGTTTCCTTTCGGTGCAGCAGTGTCCCTGTTACGGGTTATATTCATAGCATGCAGATTTATATTGTTACGATTTAGAGATACCTCTACTTGCTTCTCTTGTTGGAGAACAAGGGAATATGCCCTCCGAGTGTCTGGTAGTGGCTGCATCAATAGTATCTGTCCACGTACTGCTGCATAAGAGTCGTTTAAACCCATCAGGAACTGCATCACCCTTTCTTTCTCATCTCGATCATTTATCTTCTTCAATCCCCCACAGGTACAAGTCGGAGTTTCATTGTAGGATGCCAGTTCATCCCACAACGCTTTCAGTTTCGTGTAGTAAACCGAGATCGATTGTTGTTCCTGTCTGTGTTCAACGATCTCTCTCTTGATTTGATAAATGCGTGAGTCGTTTCCTTGTGAGAAACGATCTCGCAGGTCAGCCCAAACATCGGTTGCTGTCGTGTAATAAGAAACACTGCTCGCAATGTCATCGTGAACTGAGTTGAGAATCCAGGCAAGAACCATATCATTGCATCTTTGCCATGATGCAAATTGTTTGTCAGTCTCTGATGGAGGGTCGATGGTGCCATCAACCATGCCAAGTTTATTTTTCGCGCTCAAGCTGATTCGCATAGCACGACTCCAGGTATTGTAGTTGTCTCCTTGAAGTGTTTTGGAGACCAAGATATTCCCAGGTTGATCTGAGGGATGTAGAATAAAAGGGTTCGAGACATCTATGATTGTCTCCATAGGGTTTTGGGTGTCAGTGGACGCCTTAGGTATTGGTTCGCCCATGGTGGTTTAGGTGATGTTATGTTTGTTAAGATTTGCGGAAGCTGTGTGGGTATTCAGAGTCACCAGAAACGGTGCTCTGATACCATGTTGAAAAGTAACTCGGCTAGGGTTTAGAAATATGAAGTCTGGGAATAAACTTTGAATATTTCACATAGATCTTTTACAATAGAATACAAGACTTATATAATACAAGGAAGTCTATTCTAAGAAGGAAATAAAGAAGATTTACATTAATTTATACGGATCAATTCTACTCCTAATATAAAGGGGAAACAAGTAAGTATCCGCAACGATATCGTCGCTTAATAAGTAGCTAACTGCTTAGCGCCTAGGCGGACTATGGCGGCCCTAAGCGGGGCCTTTTAACATAGCATTTCAAAGTCTACGACGTGCCATGTTTAGCAAATTAGTTGAAGACATCAACATTCAAAAGCACTAATGCCTTTCCTGTTACGTAATTGACAAAAAGAACCAAACATTTGAATTTTGGGGAGTACAGCTAAAATGCAGCAACACCTATCGATGGCTACATATAACTGTTAACAGTATCAAAGTGTCGTACATAGAAAATGCATGGCCTGAATTGCCTTATAGTAGTCATACAAAATATCAAAGGGATGCGATATCCACACACCCCTTTTATTTCCCTCACACCTTTTTAATTTTCAGCCGTCAGATCAGATGAATTGAAGAAAATCAAAGGACATAAATTAACAAGGGTGTGGGAGAAGTAAAAAAGGGTGTGTGGATAGCACACCCCAATATCAAATTTTGAAACATGAACCAAAAGAAAAGAGTAAATTGTAGCAATTGTTCTCAACTTTAATCAAATTAAAGCAATGGTCCCTCAACTAAAAATTCATTGTCATCCCTCAACTCATCAAAATGTGTAGCTATGATCATTTTCGTTAACTTCATCAGAATTTGTCAAAATAAGTTATGTTGAAAGGACCATGCCTACAAATGGGGTCCCTCATCTCATCAAAACGTGTAGTTATGTTCATTTTCGTCAATTTCATCAGAATTTTGTCAAAATGAGTATGGAAGGATCATTGCTACAATTGGATTAAAGTTGAAGAACCATTACTCCAATTGGGTTAAAGATGAGGGATCATTTCTCTAGTTGGATTAAAGTTGAGGGATCAATGGTAATTAATTTTTAGTTGAGGGACCATAACTGCACGTTTTGATAAGTTGAAGGACCAAGGGTAATAGATTTTTAGTTGAGGAACTCTTGCTTCAATTGAGTTAAAGTTAAATGACCATTGCTATAATTTACTCAAAAAAAAGTACTAACACTAACCAGATTATACTTCAGTCAATGGGTTGACTCAATTGACCAACTTAGCCATAGAGTCTTCCATATCATGCTATGTTAAGAGTATCCCCAATGAAGGGCTCTATATGGGGTTGGAAAAGTAGTGGATATAGCCCATTTAGAGCTCCAATGAATCTTTGGGGCTTTATAAAAAAAACTCTCCCAATGATGGGCTATGTACATTTCAGGCTCTATATAGGGCTATATATTTATTTATCTAGTAATTTGATTACACATTAAATTTATTTTAGTCTTAATTTTTCTTAATTTGATTTTTAGACACGTTATCTTAAATTTTTTTAATGAAGTTTTGAACCTAAAAAAATTCCAATTCTGACAAACTTAGATTTCATCACTTATATACCGTCGGATTAGGTTCTTTTATCTCAATTTATGGGGATTTTATAGCAAATGTGTGAAGAGAAAAAGTACCCAAAAAATTAAAAATATAGCCGTTGTACAACGGTATAAAACAAACGGTAATAAAAATTGGGTTTTTTTTGGGCCCCCCCAAAAAAAAAACCAAATTTTGAATTATAAAACTTGGAAGGAAAATAATTGGGATAGCAAAACGGCAAAAAAAAAAAAAAAAAAAAAAAAAGATGGTGATCTCCATTTTTGTATTAAAAATAACAAAAAAAAAAAAAAAGGTTTGGGCTACCTTTTTGATGTGGGTTCCATTAATTTTTGAGGCTAGATGTAGCCTAATAGTTTGCTATCCAAGAAATGAAATTGCTAACCCTTGTGGTTAATGTAGAGCTGGTTTGGTATTGCTGTGCTTTGAAAAAAAAAAAAAAAAACTGCTTCTGCTGTGCTGTAAGAATAAGTAGCTGTGAAATAAAGCAGTATAGTGTTTGGTAAACTTTTTTGTAAAAGTTCTTTTGGAAAAAAAAAAAAAAAGCAATATGATAGTGTTTGATAAACTTTTATGTAAAACAGTTGTGACTGTATGAAATGATCAAAAAAGGTATAATACTAGATATGCTATTAATTTAATTTTCGTAACAAATAAAGGTAAATTACTAAATATACTTTATTTAAAAAAAAATATTTATAAACTTTATCTTAAATATTAATTAGTATGACAGACTACTTCAATTGAAATATTTTAGACTGAATAACTAGGATTCATTAGTACAATATCGTTAATGTACTTGAAAGTAGTCTAATTAAATGCATTCATCAAACTTGCCACTATAATTGATTAGAATACCTGGTTCAAGGAGATATGTGACGAATTAAGTGTTACAAAACACTAAATTCAATAACCAATAAATTCGTCACATATCATTTATGTGAGTGACGTTGAAATTGTCACTTATTCCTTTGATATGTGGTGCAGTGTGCATCACACATGTCAAAATCCAATACCTATTCGCTTCTAGTTTGTGATGAACCAACTACCACATAATCCTTGTTCATAATTTGGAATTAGAACTGATAACAAATGTAATGTAATACTTTAGTTAATCACATTTTCATTAATCAAGAATTTAATCATATAAGTTGAATACATAAACCAAGTGAAGTCTCAAAAATAACATAAACATCCTAGACGCTAACAAGTCGAATACCCTTATGGTGTCTCATCTCAACTTAACAGCAATTGGACACCTCTAGACATATTGAGGTGCTAACCAAAAAGTCTACCCTATGCATTTTGTCTACCACTGACTCGCAGCTAAAAAACCTTCAATTGTGGATAACATCTTCATTCTCCTTTTGCAAACCCATTGAGCTCTCAACTCTCCGTTCTTCTTTTGCACAAGTCGTACATGACATAAAAAAGAAAAGTTAGTTAAATAGCCATCCAATTTGGTTTTGAAACATCTCATGCATCAAGTGATGGATAAGTGGAAGAAAGATTGAGAAAACATATTCAATTGAGGATGAATATTCAATAAACCATATGGAGAGAGTATGCATACTAGCATAAAGAGCAAATTTTTGCAGCATAATTCGTGAGAAATAGCAGGTTTGTACGAGAATGAGCAAGGACACCCGGTTTGAAAGCATTTTTTCGCCTATCAAGAAGTAAAATCGATGTTCATATGATTTTTTTAATGAAAAAAACTGGACCATTAATCACAAGATTAATTTCAGAACCGGTTATAACTCGTAAGGGTCAATGTTTATTGGAATACAGACACATGCTTCTATGGATTGTACAATTAATTACATTGCACTACTACGTGATTTCTTAGCAAACTTTCAAAAAGACATTCAAGTGCTGACGAAATATTTTCGTAGAGAATGACTTTGTGACATGCCGTCTTTGAGCCATCTGCAGGCCTGTTATGAGTTTAGCCATAGCCAAAGAGAACTCTCTTGGGTTACAGTCACACAGAAATCCTGTCTCACCATTCTTCATTGTCTCTACAGGGGCCCCACTGTTGCATGCAATGACAGGTAGATGAACAGCCATTGCCTCCAGAGGTACAATGCCAAAGTGCTCATCCTGCATTTTTGAATATGTCGTATCAATTTCATTTTCCCCACAATATTTGACCAACGGAACAAAATTATGTAATTTTCACCCTTGGCATATAAAGGACGCATAGGCATTGGGAGAGAAGTGCATTTCTTTCTGCTGTTGAGCAAGAGGTGATGAAGTTAACTTGATTGGACACTCCTTCCATTTCTGCCAGACTTCTGAGCTCCTCTAAGTACTCAACATTTTCTCTCAAACAATTATCAAAACCACCTAAAACATCGGACATGTATTATATTTATCATCCCCGTATGTGAACATATGCAGATACACAAATCAATTAAGGAATGATACATGGGTATATCAATGTTGAATTAAAATCAACCAGTACGCCATTGGAGTAGAATTGATTCCTCTTGGTACATGGCCCAGACAAGGGTTGACACCAAACCTAAGGAACTTCTACTAGCTCATTTCTTTGGACTTGATGATCATTCTGTATATCTATATTTTCACATATTTCATGCAAAACTAAGTGGAAATATCTTCGCAAATACAACAAACAACAACAACAACAACAACAACAAAGCCTTTTCCCACTAAGTGGGGTCGGCTATATGAATCCTAGAACGCCATTGCGCTCGGTTTTGTGTCATGTCCTCCGTTAGATCCAAGTACTCTAAGTCTTTTCTTAGAGTCTCTTCCAAAGTTTTCCTAGGTCTTCCTCTACCCCTTCGGCCCTGAACCTCTGTCCCGTAGTCACATCTTCGAACCGGAGCGTCAGTCGCCTTCTTTGCACATGTCCAAATCACCAGAGCCGATTTTCTCTCATCTTTCCTACAATTTCGGCTACTCCTACTTTACCTCGGATATCCTCATGCCCAATCTTATCCTTTCTCGTGTGCCCACACATCCCACGAAGCATCCTCATCTCCGCTACACCCATTTTGTGTACGTGTTGATGCTTCACCACCTAACATTCTCTGCCATACAACATCGCTGGCCTTATTGCCGTCCTATAAAATTTTCCCTTGAGCTTCAGTGGCCTACGACGGTCACACAACACGCCGGATGCACTCTTTCCATCCAGCTCGTATTCTATGGTTGAGATCTCCATCTAATTCTCCGTTCTCTTGCAAGATAGATCCTAGGTAACGAAAACGGTAGCTTTTTGTGATCTTCGCTAGATTGCTCCGGTCATTAGTGTGGATAAGTATATAAATGGATAGAGATAGGAAAGCAAACACAAGATGTACGTGGTTCACCCAGATTGGCTACGTCCACGGAAATAGAAGAGTTCTCATTAATTGTGAAGGGTTTACACAAGTACATAGGTTCAAGCTCTCCTTTAGTGAGTACGAGTGAATGATTTAGTACAAATGACATTAGGAAATATTGTGGGAGAATGATCTCGTAATCACGAAACTTCTAAGTATCAGAGTGTGGTGTCGTCTTGACTTGCCTTATCTGTCTCATAGGTAGATGTGGCATCTTCTCTGGAAGTACTCTTCCTCCATCCAGGGGTGGTATCTTTAACTGGTGGAGATGCACAAGGTAATGTATCAATTTCACTTGAAGCTTACTTGTAGTTTCAGGCTTGGTCAAGCGCGATACAAACCATGTAGTAGGAGTCCCCCAAGTCGCCGAGCTAGGGGGTCTGCTGAAAGAGGTGACAGACAAGGTAAGCAATCAGAGCTCCGACTGATTGTTCACCTTCTCCCCATCTTGCAGCAGCATGAAGGATAAAGAGAAGAAAAATGAGAAGAGATGATATGAGATACTTTTGCTTTTGAAGAAGTAACTTTCCACAGGCTTATTCTTGAACTGAGCTGGAGGGTTTTCTGGTTTCCTCCAGAGTATAAGGCCGACTGAAGAATTTGAGGGTCAAAACAAGTCCATCAAATCTAGAGTACGTTCCACCCTGCTGATATGGGATACTTTTGCTTTTGACAGAGTAATGGATGTATCGGCACGTGTGCTGTTACGCTTGTCTCCACATGCTTCCTTGTATCCTTCGCACTTGCCCTATCTGTTCCTCAAGCAGATGCGGAATCTTCCCTGGAAACATAAGATGTTGAAGATGAGTACTCGAGAGCAATGCCAGGTAAGTAATCAGGTAAGGGGTTCCAGGCAGTCAGTTCCTGGCTGGAAGCTTGATTCCAAGTGCTGACTGATTGCTCTCTTTCTCCTTGTCTTGCAGGTAAAAACAAGGCCAAAAGAAAAAACAGGGAAAAAGCATGATATGGGATACTCTTGCTTTTAACCCTGATGATATGAGATATTCTTGCTCTAGTATAGCTTGTTTGCAGAGGTATTATCGGGGGGAAAGAAAGCTGAATATTTCGAAAGGCTTTGTTAGGAGTGCCCTCTCAGATATGATGAAGAGTTGAGCATTTTTGCATGTCTGCCTGTCCGTTAGGGATGGAGGTCGACATATATAGGAGTCTCCCTAACAACAAGTAGTAATGCTATTCCTTTACCCTGCTTGGTCATAGCACGGTAGTGGGAGCTGCCAGTTTCACATGTTTTAACTTTGTCAGAGCACTTTGAAAAAGTGGTCTGTGGTATCTGGCTCTCGAGATTCGGAGAACGATGCCTCTTCGATTTTTGAGAAAGCAATCATGCTGGGGGTCTGACTCTCGAGATTCGGAGAGCAGTGTCTCTTCGATTTTTGAGGAAGTAATCATGTTGGGAGTCTGGCTCTCGAGATTCGGAGGGCGGTGCCTCTTCGATTTTGGAGCAAGCAATCTTGTTGGGAGTGTTGTCTCGAATGTGAGTAAAGGTTGGACATGTTTGCTAGTCTACCTTGCCACGAAGCACAAAGGTTGACACACAGGGACTTTCCAATTATCCAGCAATGGTACTGTTCCTTTACCCTCTCTTCGATTTTGAGAAAGTAGTCATGTTGGGAGTCTGGCTCTCGAGATTCGGAGGACGGTGCCTCTTCGATTTTGGAGCAAGCAATCTTGTTGGGACTGTTTTCTCGAATGTGAGTAAAGGTTGGGCATGTTTGCTAGTCTACCTTGCCACGAAGCACAGAGGTTGACACACAGGGACTTTCCAATTATCCAGCAGTGGTACTGTACCTTTACCCTTGTGGGTAATAATATGGTAGCTAGACCTTCAAAATTTATGTGTCTAAACTTTGTTAGTGCTGTTTCTTTGCTATTCTTTTACCTTTCTTGGTCAGAGCGATGTAGTGGGAGCTGCAAGCTTCACGTGCTCAACTTTGGCAGAGAACTTTGGCAAATTCATGTGCTTTCTACTTCACCAGAAGTCTTCGACAGAATGCCCATAATTTCTGCAAAGCTGAGTGTGCGTGTGACAGGTGCTGACAAGGCTAGAAAAGTAGGTGCCTCTTCGATTTCTGAGATCGGCCCTCGTGGTCTCTGAGCAGCCCAGCTTTTGAGAAAGCGAGCGCCTCTTCGATTGATTCGGAGAACAGTGCCTCACCGATTTTTGAGAAAGCAATCATGCTGGGGGTCTGGCTCTCGAGATTCGGGGAGCAGTGTCTCTTCGATTTTTGAGAAAGTAATCATGTTGGGAGAGTGGCTCTCGAGATTCGGAGGGCGGTGCCTCTTCGATTTTGGAGCAAGCAATCTTGTTGGGAGTGTTTTCTCGAATGTGAGTAAAGGTTGGGCATGTTTGCTAGTCTACCTTGCCACGAAGCACAGAGGTTGACACACAGGGACTTTCCAATTATCCAGCAATGGTACTGTTCCTTTACCCTCTCTTCGATTTTTAAGAAAGTAGTCATGTTGGGAGTCTGGCTCTTTAGATTCGGAGGACGGTGCCTCTTCGATTTTGGAGCAAGCAATCTTATTGGGAGTGTTTTCTCGAATGTGAGTAAAGGTGGGGCATGTTTGCTAGTCTACCTTGCCACGAAGCACCGAGGTTGACATACATGGACTTTCCAATTATCCAGCAGTGGTACTGTTCCTTTACCCTTGTGGGTAATAATATGGTAGCTAGACCTTCAAAATTTATGGGTCTAAACTTTGTTAGTGCTGTTTCTTTGCTATTCTTTACCCTTCTTGGTCAAAGCGATGTAGTGGGAGCTGCAAGCTTCACGTGCTCAACTTTGGCAGAGAACTTTGGCAAAGTTATCTGTGGTACCCATGAGCTATTGTTGCGTGTGGGAAGTGGGTGATTGAACAGTAAGATTCATGTGTTTTCTACTTCCCCAGAAGTCTTTGACAGAATGTCCATAATTTCCGCAAAGCTGAGTGTGCGTGTGACAGGTGCTGACAAGGCTGGAAAAGTAGGTGCCTCTTCGATTTCTAAGATCGGCCCTCGTGGTCTCTAGGGAGCCCAGCTTTTGAGAAAGCGAGCGCCTCTTCGATTTCTGAGATCGGCCTTCGTGGTCTTTGAGCAGCCCAACTTTTGAGAAAGCAAACGGCTCTTCGATTTCTGAGATCAACCCTCGTGATCTCTAAGCAGCCCAACTTTTGAGAAAGCAAACGCCTCTTCGATTTCTGAGCAGGCGCCTCTTTGATTTCTGAAGCTCCGTCGAGTGCAGCTTTTTATAGGGGCTGACATTAAGTTCCAAAGCACACTTGAATCTCCACCAGTAGAAGCTTCATTCTTGCACTTCTAAGATCTTGATTTGTCCGACCTCTTCTCTCTTCAACACCTTTGAAAATGTCTGGCCCCTCCGACCGTCGTTTTGACTTGAACCTTGTTGAAGAGGCAGCCCCGCCTTCTCCAGACAACATATGGCGCCCATCCTTCGTCTCCCCAACTGGTCCTCTTACCGTTGGGGATTCCGTGATGAAGAATGATATGACCGCTGCGGTGGTGGCCAGGAACCTTCTCACTCCCAAAGATAACAGACTACTTTCCAAACGGTCTGATGAGTTAGCTGTTAAGGATTCGTTGGCTCTCAGTGTTCAGTGTGCAGGTTCTGTGTCTAATATGGCCCAACGCCTATTTGCTCGAACCCGCCAAGTTGAATCATTGGCGGCTGAAGTGATGAGTCTCAAACAGGAGATTAGAGGGCTCAAGCATGAGAATAAACAGTTGCACCGGCTCGCACATGACTATGCTACAAACATGAAGAGGAAGCTTGACCAGATGAAGGAAACTGATGGTCAGGTTTTACTTGATCATCAGAGATTTGTGGGTTTGTTCCAAAGGCATTTATTGCCTTCGTCTTCTGGGGCTGTACCGCGTAATGAAGCTCCAAATGATCAACCTCTGATGCCTCCTCCTTTTAGGGTTCTGTCCAGTACTGAGGCTCCAAATGATCCCCCTCCGGTGCCTTCTCTTTCTGGGGCTCTACCGACTGCTGAGACTTCTCCTAAGCAACCTTTGTGAAGGCTCCCTCTTGTGTGTTTATTTTGACTCATGTATATGTACATATTTGTAGCTTATCGGGGATATCAATAAATAAAGCTTTCCTTCATTTCAACGTATTGTGTTAAATACACCAAAGCCTTCTTCGCTAAGTTCTTTGAATTTTCTTTTGTTGAAGCTTGTATGTTGAAGCTTTCTGAGTGGAGCATGTAGGTTGGGGTAATGTTCCCTTAATTTCCCGAGTGAGGAAAACTTCTTGGTTGGAGACTTGGAAAATCCAAGTCACTGAGTGGGATCGGCTATATGAATCTTAGAACGCCATTGTGCTCGATCCTGTGTCATGTCCTTCGTTAGATCCAAGTACTCTAAGTCTTTTCTTAGAGTCTCTTCCAAAGTTTTCCTAGGTCTTCCTCTACCCCTTCGGCCCTGAACCTCTGTCCCATAGTCGCATCTTCTAATCGGAGCGTCAGTAGGCCTTCTTTGCACATGTCCAAACCACCGTAACCGATTTTCTCTCATCTTTCCTTCAATTTCGGCTACTCCTACTTTACCCCGGATATCCTCATTCCTAATCTTATCCTTTCTCGTGTGCCCACACATCCAACGAAGCATCCTCATATCCGCTACACCCATTTTGTGTACGTGTTGATGTTTCACCGCCCAACATTCTGTGCCATACAGCATCGCCGGCCTTATTGCCGTCCTATAAAATTTTCCCTTGAGCTTCAGTGGCATACGGCGGTCACACAACACGCCGGATGCACTCTTCCACTTCATCCATCCAGCTTGTATTCTATGGTTGAGATATCCATCTAATTCTCCGTTCTTTTGCAAGATAGATCCTAGGTAACGAAAACGGTCGCTCTTTGGTATTTCTTGATCTCCGATCCTCACCCCTAACTCGTTTTGGCCTCCATTTGCACTGAACTTCCACTCCATATATTCTGTCTTTGATCGGCTTAGGCGAAGACCTTTAGATTCCAACACTTCTCTCCAAAGGTTAAGCTTTGCATTTACCCCTTCTTGAGTTTCATCTATCAACACTATATCGTCTGCGAAAAGCATACACCAAGGAATATCATCTTGAATATGTCCTGTTAACTCATCCATTACCAACGCAAAAAGGTAAGGACTTAAAGATGAGCCTTGATGTAATCCTACAGTTATGGGAAAGCTTTCGGTTTGTCCTTCATGAGTTCTTACGGCAGTCTTTGCTCCTTCATACATATCCTTTATAGCTTGGATATATGCTACTCGTACTCCTTTCTTCTCTAAAATCCTCCAAAGAATGTCTCTCTGGGACCCTATCATACGCTTTTTCCAAATCTATAAAGACCATGTGTAAATCCTTTTTCCCATCTCTATATCTTTCCATCAATCTTCGTAAGAGATAGATTGCCTTCATGGTTGAGCGCCCTGGCATGAACCCGAATTGGTTGTCCGAAACCCGTGTCTCTTGCCTCAATCTATGCTCAATGACTCTCTCCCAGAGCTTCATTGTATGACTCATTAGCTTAATACCCCTATAGTTCATGCAATTTTGTACGTCGCCCTTATTCTTGTAGATAGGCACCAAAGTGCTCGTTCGCCACTCATTTGGCATCTTCTTCGTTTTCAAAAATCCTATTGAAAAGGTCAATGAGCCATGTTATACCTGTCTCTCCCAAAAACTTTCCACACTTCGATTGGTATATCGTCTGGGCCTATTGCTTTTCTATGCTTCATCTTCTTCAAAGCTACAACCACTTCTTCCTTCCGGATTCGACGATAAAATGAGTAGTTTCTACACTCTTCTGAGTTACTCAACTCCCCTAAAGAAGCACTCCTTTCATGTCCTTCATTGAAAAGATTATGAAAATAACCTCTCCATCTGTCTTTAACCGCGTTCTCTGTAGCAAGAACCTTTCCATCCTCATCCTTGATGCACCTCACTTGGTTTAGGTCCCTTGTCTTCTTTTCCCTTGCTCTAGCTAGTTTATAGATATCCAACTCTCCTTCTTTGGTATCTAGTCGTTTATACATATCGTCGTAAGCCGCTAACTTAGCTTCTCTGACAGCTTTCTTCGCCTCTTGCTTCGCTTTTCTATACCTTTCACCATTTTCATCGGTCCTCTCCTTGTATAAGGCTTTACAACATTCCTTCTTAGCCTTCACCTTTGTTTGTACCTCCTCATTCCACCACCAAGATTCCTTTTGGTGTGGGGCAAAGCCCTTGGACTCTCCTAATACCTCTTTTGCTACTTTTCGGATACAACTAGTCATGGAATCCCACATTTGGCTAGCTTCCCCCTCTCTATCCCACACACATTGGGTGATTACCTTCTCTTTTTGAAAATGGCTTGTTTTTCTTCTTTTAGATTCCACCATCTAGTTCTTGGGCACTTCCAAGTCTTGTTCTTTTGTCTTACTCTTTTGATATGTACATCCATCACCAACAAGCGATGTTGATTAGCCACGCTCTCTCCTGGTATAACTTTGCAATCCTTACAAGTTATACGATCCCCTTTCCTCATTAGAAGAAAATCTATTTGTGTTTTTGACGACCCACTCTTGTAGGTGATCACATGTTCTTCTCTCTTCTTAAAGAAGGTGTTGGCTAAGAAGAGATCATATGCCATTGCAAAATCCAAGATAGCTTCCCCATCCTCGTTTCTCTCCCCAAAACCATGGCCACCATGAAAACCTCCATAGTTGCCTGTCTCCCTGCCCACGTGTCCATTTAAATCTCCTCCTATAAATAACTTCTCCGTCTGAGCAATTCCTTGCACCAAGTCTCCAAGATCTTCCCAAAATTTCTCCTTCGAACTCGTATCCAACCCTACTTGAGGTGCGTACGCACTAATCACATTGATAAGTTCTTGTCCTATTACAATCTTGATTGCCATGATTCTATCTCCTACCCTCTTGACATCTACAACATCTTGTACCAAGGTCTTGTCCACGATGATGCCAACACCGTTTCTCTCGTTCTATTTGTGCCCGAATACCAAAGTTTAAACCCCTGAGTTTTCTAGATCCTTTGCCTTAATACCAACCCACTTAGTTTCTTGTAGGCACATAATATTTATCCTTCTCCTCACCATAACTTCCACTACTTCCATAGATTTTCCCGTTAAGGTTCCTATATTCCACGTTCCTAAACGCATTTTGCTCTCTTGAACTCTACCCTTCTGTCTTAGCTTCTTCACCCTCCCCCGTCTAATAGGATCAAAGTACTTCTTTTGTGTGTCCCGGGTAAAGTTGATAGGAGCATATGCTCCCAAACAACTTTGAGTGGAGTCGTTCGAAAGGAAGTTTCTATGGCCCCCTTGCTCATTTAACACTGCATCCGGATGCCGATGGAGATACAGCGACCCTTGCTCACTTATCACTGTGCTCGGGCCACACAGCGCGCCACTTACGGGTGACACCCTAGCTTTAGCGCGATTTTGTTCTGGATTCATTTTCATAAGGATTCGACGTGATCATGGAGTGCCGGCTGTCGACTAACTGACGCCCTCCCCCTCCTCCTTTATCTTCGCAAATAACAAAGGAAAATTTGAACACCCCATACAGGGTTCTAATTCGGCTGTACGATAGACAAGCTTATTAAACTGCTCATAAAGGGACATAAGATACTGTAAGATAACAGCACAATAGTTCATTGCTATTTCAACTACATATGCTCTTTTTTTCTCATAAATTACAATTCTAGGCTTGGCTATGGGTCTAAGCCTTCACTATAAATTCTAGATATAGGCTAATGTTTCATAATTTACCAAGAAAAACACAAAAGAATGTCTTTCCACATCCAGATACTAATGTTAACTTGCAAGATTCGTAAAGCTCTCAACACACAAATGAACTAAGGGAAAGCTTAATCACACAACCAGGTTATTACTGCATGCTTCTACTTGGTTATTGATAGCCTAACTAATATAAACAGTCTTCAACAGCAACATAAGGTAATGAAGGCATATCCCTATAGAATCGTTAAGATTAGTAGATTACTCAGGGGAGATAATAAGTAGGAACTTGCAGGCAATCGTCAAGGAAGCGCTTGAGCCAAATCAGGACCTTGAAGCACATCCCCTTCGAGGGTACGAAGAAAAGAAAAAGCTGAAATTGCCAGGTCCTTCTTTTTCCTCTCAAAACGATTGATAGACAGAAAATTAGCCTGGAATGAAAAAACCAAAGCAGGAAGAAAAAAACAGTAAACTACCAGATGAAAGTCTGAGAAGAAAATCTCCAAGTTATGGTTAGATATAGAATCATAAAGGTAGTATAAATGTAAAACCAAAAGGCACCAGCAGATATATAAACATGTTCATTACTTGTAAGAATTGGCTGGTTCATTAAAATGATTCACGCTGACAGCTGGATAAAGAACAGCTGGCTCAACCCCTCGTGCGTCAACATGCTTAAATGTCTATGCAAAACATAGATGCTGTGAATTTGCTGTTAACAAGAATCTTATCTGCCTTATCTGCCATTCGTGCAGTATTTATCAAAAAGAAATAGGAAATCTAGTAAGAAATAGTAGTATATCCACACAAAAATAACACTGAAAAGATGCACAAGAAAAATTAGATGAATGTCATAAAGCTGAGATATGGAATCAGACCAGTTGTCAATTCTTCTATGAAGTCTACGGGGTTTTCTATATATCCTCCTCAAAACAATTGTGTGCTGAGCCAACAATAAATCCGGAAAATGACAATAACACAAAACCTGGACAGAAAGATGTAATGCATTAAACAACTCTACTACCAGAAGTTACCAGATAACAATTCGCACGAAATAGGTGCAAATACCCTTGTTTCCTTCTTAAGCTTCAGCAGTGGGATGACAACAGAAACCTGATCTGCTATTATACATCAAACGATGGCCACATGAACAGCATACAGAGAGCAATAGAAGGGCACCGTATATATGCACACAAAGCATGGAGTCGATAGAATATATGTCGGGGTTGGATGGCACCATATATAGTAACTGGAAAGATACCTGTGAAACCAAAAGACAGTAAAACATCAAACTATGCAGTGATCTTGAATGGCAGTTGATCAACGCGAAACCGATAAAAAATAAAAACAAAAGAAAGGAAAGCATGTTGTATTTGTTCCAACTTTTATACATTCCCAAAGGGCCTAAAAGAAGCGAAACTTATAAACCACCTTCTAACCCCAAGGCCTAACATCCATCTACATACGTATTACCCTATTTGATGAAGCTCCTATTTACCATATTAGAATGTGAGCATTCAACCCAAAACCAATTTGCGACAGGTGGAGAGGCAATTATCCATCCGACTTTTTATCCATTAGATTGGCAATTACAAAAAAAAATAGTATTTTTTCAATACAATCACGGCCCTTCAATTCTCGTACTACTGATACTATTGATGAAAAACTGATTTATTTGATCATAAGATTGAAGTAGAGAAAGCCACACACACCAGAAACGGTCTCCTCAAAGCATCGATTTTTATCGTGGTGCGAAGTGAAAACATGAACTTTATGGCCGTGCGAAGGATCAGTCTTTCAGCTTCACCTACCTATCACATTCGCAGCATCATAAAACTCATTCCCAAAAACTCCTTCACAATCTTCATAAACAACAGAAGGAAAAGAGAAGAAGAAGAAGTTACCGATGCCCAGATCGGGATGAATGATTGCAACGTTCAACTTGCAGCCTCCTTTGTTCTCCGCCATTTTTTCAGCTCCTTTCTCCCCAATTCTCTGCAGATTCTGATTCAAAATCTTAAGAAGGAGAAACCATTTCTGCTATATTGGGCCGAAACGGGTCGGGTGTGGCCCAAATTGTGTGATTATAAAAATATTTGAAACTGGTTTTTGCATATTTGAAACTATTTGCCAATCTATTTATTAAATTCCTATTTATGGGGAATTTTTTATCTAGCTAAAAGAAGCCAAAAAGACTGGAAGAAAATAAATAAGAAGGTTTTAATAAAATGGGTCCTGAAAGCCCATTAAATTAGAAACGAAGGGAAGACCATTGGCCTTTTGGCGGTTGCAAATTGAAGGGGATTTACATCCCTGATGAGAGGAGGC